TCTGATGGTCAAGATCATGCTCAAGAATGCGCCAAAGGCACAAACTCCTGCTAAAACCAGGAACGTGAGTCTAAAGCAACTTGCGCCCAGACAGTGCGGTCCTTGTTGCTTTCCTGCCTCTGTGTCATACACATAACCAGCCAGTAGACCAGAAAACAGGAGCGCTCCGATAGGGTTGCCGAGCTGCATGAAGTTGAATATTATGCCAAAATGTTTCAAGCCAAAAAGCTCGGAGGCAGTTGGAATCATCACACCAAACTGAACGCCGAAGCAAATCCCTAGCAATGCAGTCGCAGCATAGAGAGTACCACTCAGAGCTGAAGCATACAGAAGGAATGTTACAATCATGATGATTTGTGTTACCATCATCCAAAATGTCCTTGGAATTGTTTTTGACCTGCAATAGACATGATCCAAGTGTTAATTGTTGGTCACAATCAAACTAGACAGTAACATCAGTTCAAGTCACTCTTGAAGTTAGTACTGAACGATTAATTAAAGCAATCCATTATCAATCATGAGAATGAGGAGCTAGCAACCATGAGAATGAGGAGCTAGCAACCATGAAGATGGATATATTTAAAGATAGTAATACTATCATTTAAGAAACGTCAAAAAAATGAAAGCACTTTATTCCCTAGCCCCCAGCCAAGTCAGCAAGAGAGAGAACTTCAGCACACTAGCCACCTTCCTTCTTAAGAAATAAAGAAAATAGGTGGAGGAAGCAGATTATTACCTCACGAAGTGTTCAGAAACAACACCTGCCCCAAGACGGCCCAAGAAATTGCTNCCCAAGAAATTGCAGAAGCTGAACAAACTCAGCAATATCGTTGTGTCATTTACACCAAGTGCAACTCCAATCTGTGCTAAATTATTTAGAACAGTTACACCAGACCCAACACCGAGGAAGTATACTACCCACAGAAGCCAGAAGTCAGCTTTAACAACAGCTTCACGAAACTTGAAGTCTTCCCCTCTTCTAGGTTTCCTTTTCTTCTTCACTGCACCCTCGCCCTCGGCCAGCAGCAAGTCTACCTCAGAAACATCTTCACCTTCATGAAAGCTCCCAAGGTCTGCTTCTGATGAAATTGGAGTTAATAAGGATGTCGTTTGGCTGGAACTGACTTCTTCAGTCAAATTGTCTGAGGAACCATCTAAGTTTCCAGATCTCTTATGACGAGATGGAAACAGTGTCATCTTCAAGGGAATTGCTAGAGGAGACATCAAGAAAATAACCATTACTCCAGCAAGTATATAGGAGATGGGACTACTTAAAGATAGCGTGTTCTTCAAAATTGTTGTAGTGAGAAGATAAACGGCAAGCAAGAGACTTGCTGCTTGTGTGAAAAGAAAATGGACATGCTCTGAGGAATCCTCGCCGGAAGCTGGTGTGCAAGCCCTGATAAAGTACATCATGGCCAAACAGATGATGGGAATCCCCAATGCTAGAAACAGCAGTAACTCCGAAGCTGAATTGTTAAGAACCATTGCGAAGATCTCTGTGAAAACTGCACCACTCAAGCCAACATAACCTTTCAGTATTCCAGCAACAGTGCCTCTACTGAGAGGGAAGTTCCTCATATTGGTGACAAGTACTGCTGTGCCCATCCATGCACTGCTGTTTGTAGCAATCACCAGTGCAAGCCAAAGCTGCCATTCAATCGCGGAGATGTGTCAATGGAAGTCATAACCCTTTTTTCTTTTTTGGTGGAAAAAAGTAAATGAATTTAATAGAAATGATGCTATGACATTGCTTTCGAACACGAAGAGCATCTCTCTCTCTCTCTCTCTCTCTCACATAACACATAGATGCATTGAGCAAACAAGGATTAAATTGATATATAAACTGATTACAAACTCATATACTTCTTCCTCAACTTCCAGATTGGAAGTACCAGGCAGAGAGAAATACATCAATCAGCAACTCTTGATATTCAACCTCGCAACACTTGACATGACTGAAGTCATTTATGGAAGGTAAGCAAGTCACTAAAGAATAAAGAATAAAGCTTGAAGAAAAAAATCACACCGATGTCAACGTCATTATACAAACAACATAAGATGCTTGTAGTACATAGAGCCTGAACACTTGAAAGCATAGCTTGAGAAATTTAAAGGTTTTGAAGGAAAGGCTAAATAGGTGAGGTGACAAAAGGGTGCAGTACTCTAAGTAGGTGCAACAATGACAGCTTACAGAAGAAAAGAGAAGTACAACTTAGTCAGATTGATATGGCTAAGAAAAGAAAAATAAGGGGATAGCAAGGGTCTTTTAGATACAGTAAAAAGCATAGGAGAGTTAGCACTTAAGAATACAGTCAGATATATTTTCAAATACATTACTGTATATGCTTTATTCTTTATCCACCGTTGCATCTAATTCTTGCACAAAATATTGCTAAGTATGTGATATAAATGTTCAAAGAAAGGTCAGAAGTGGCTAATATCCAATGTTTCACTTCATAATTCCACTCTTGTGCCAGAAACAGAAAGATTCAACTGATAGAGTTAGCTGGATAACTAGAGCAGAAGGAAGGCAGGGGGGAACAAGTAGGAAGCTTTCCAAGAAGGTTAGGACAAGAACAGTTATATCCATTGCAGCATTTGATCAGAAAGAGGTAAGAGCAAATAAAGTGACAAACCAGAAAACAAAATTAACAATTCAATAGGTGTTACTTTTTCTTTAAACAACTTCTAAGGCCATGCTGACCTTGTATGATGAATAAATGCAATGCACACTGTAAAGGTACAATCAGCTAATATCAAGAAAAAAGTAATCTCCGGCAAGAAATGAGTCTTTAGAAAGTTCAGAACTTTCACATATCCTGCATGTTCAATCTCTGCATTGGAAGAATTCAAGTCATAAGCATTTACTCAGGTAACAACCCGTCACAACCAAAGCCACGTGCTTTTGGGGTTTAAAGCTACAATACGATAATCCAAAGACGGATTTGACAATAGAAACCAATGTTCGAGGAAGTGAATTTGTGTCTAATCCAATGATGCAATCGAATCTCTTAGCGGCCAATCCCATAACTTAAAACTAGATACAAGGAAGAACACCATAAATTGATCAAACTATCTCCAGTGTCAGCATTCAACTTCATAATGCATTCACAAATACAATAACTCAGAATTTCTACATTAGACTAGTAGTTCACAATTCCACAGCTAAATAAACAACTTTGCTATAAAATAGATATCTGAGAGAAAGCTAGAGAAATCAAGAACTCACAACCCAATAAGGTAAAGAGAGCAGAGTCTGGCTAACTGCAAGCCAAAGAACGCCATAGCCAAAGAAAGAAAGGCAAACACCAACAAGCAAAATAACCCAAGGTGGGAACTTGTTGCAAGCTATCCCTGGAAGAATGCCAACGTTCTCCCCAATATCATTAGCAACTCCGATAATAGTCAACTGCTGCTGACTAAAACCCAACACTGATTTCAAAGCAGAGGAATAGAGTGGGAAAGTATAAGCGTTACCAGCAGCTACTTGTACCCAAACAGCAGCAGCAAGTCCTACCCATGGTGGTCTGCTCCCTTCTTTTAGGACAGCCATTCTAAAGAATTTGGAAGCAAAGATTCAAAAGATCTCAACTTGTTAGAGGCGATGTTGTCATTATTGTAAGACCAACTTGAAATGATTTGCTTGAAAATAATAGCTGTCTGCAAAAGTGGTTTTGAGAAGTGCCAAGCTTATTTTCAGAGTTAGTTTTTTTTCTTCTCAAAAGTGTTTTTGAGAATGTACTTTTTTTTTTCTTTTTCTCAAAAAAATACTTTTTATTTTTGTGTTTGATTAATTAATTTGTAAAGTACTTTTAAGTAATAATTAATATTTGATCAAACATTTAAAAACTATTTATTTTACTCAAAAATATTTTTAAAAAAAGTCTTTTCTAAGAAAAATTATTTTTTGTGCTTAAACTGCTTTTGCTACTCTTTGAAGCAATTACTTTTTTTATAAAAGTTTGGTCAAAACAAGTCAACTTAAAAAAAAAAAAGGAAATTGGAAATGGGAAACGTAGACAAATTGGACATCAAAAACTATTGGAGCTACGAGTCATATAAACAGGCAACGAGGTGGTCCAGAAGTGGTACCTTTTACTGAAGTTTGATGGGACAGACTTTAATCAAACGCCCCCACCTTTGATTCTGGTTAATTTCTGAAGACGCGCGTTAAAATATTTTAATGGGAAAACATTCAAGAAGTGGCCCAACACACTCCATAATCTTCGGGGAGGATAGTTTGTAACCTTACTCGGATAGAGAGGCTATTTCCGATAGACCCTCGACTTCCTTCCTTCAAGAACTTCTCACCTTGTTTTTGGGGTGACTCGAACTCACAATCTCTTGATTGGAAGTGGATGGTGCTCACCACTAGAGCAAGAGCAACCCACTATTATCCCACAATCTCAAATTCAAATCCATGTATTAGCTCAATCGGTAAAAGGTCCAAATATACCTCTGTACTTTCGAAAATGGTCTAAGAATACCCCTCGTTATACTATTGGGTTATCTATACCCATGCAGTCATACTTTGGATTCAAATATACCCCTCATTTAAACGGAGGGACACGTGTCATCGTCTTGTTGGCTAATTCTAAATATCTCCTAATTAATTAAAAAAACTCATTATTTGGTACCCAAAAAGCAATTTTATAAAGTAATTTTTTTTTTTTGCAAAAACTGAAAAAAACTGATATTTTTTTTTTACTAAAAACTGAAAAAAAACAAAAATATTTTTTTTCCAGTTTTTACAAAAAAAGCTGCTTTAAAAAAACTGGAAAATATTTTCTAAAACAATGTTTTGTAAAAACCGAAATAAAAACTGAAAAATAATTTTCTAAAGCAATTAAAAACTGAAAAAAACTGAATTTTTTTTAAATAAAAACTGAAAAAAAGAAAATATTTGTTTTTTTAGTTTTAACAAAAAATATTGCTTTAGAAAATTATTTTTCATTTTTTTAGTTTTTATAAAAAATAATTGCTTTAGAAATTATTTTTCAGTTTTTTTAAAAGCAATATTTTTCTAAAAACTGGAAAAAAATATTTTCTATTTTTTCAGTTTTTAGTAAAAAAAAATTTATTGTAAAAACTGGAAAAAAAATATTTTTGTTTTTCCCCCTAGTTTTTAGTAAAAATAATTTTATTTTTTCCAGTTTTTATAAAAATAATTACTTTAGAAAATTGCTTTTCGGGTACCAAATAATGAGTCTTTTTAATTTATTAGGAGATATTTAGAATTGGCCAACATGACGATGACACGTGTCCCTCCATTTAAACGAGGGGTATATTTTAACTCAAAGTATGACTGTAGGGGTATAGATAACCCAATAGTATAACGAGGGATATTCTTAGACCATTTTCGAAAGTACATGGGTATATTTGGACCTTTGCCGTAGTTCAATTGTGATGTGATATATTGCCTGTTTGGCCAAGTTGGAGAAATCAGCTTATTTTGAGAAGTGCTTTTGAAAAAAGTACTTTTGAACAGAAACAGTTTGTGTTTGGCTAATCACTCTGAAAAGCACTTTTGAACAATAATTTGTATTTGGCCAAGCTTTTCAGAAAGTGATTTTAAGTATCAAATTACGAATAAGGACATGAATAGATTTACTTAATAGTTAATATTATAAGTAAATAAATAATCTTAAAAAATTATTATTACAGACAATAATTAAATATTTTTATTTTATTTAAGTAAAATATGAAAATAAAATTTTAAAGTACTTAATTCTCTTAATATAAGTTAAATATATTAAAATTCATTCAACAAATATAAAAGTATTCACCCCTAAAGTCACTATATATTAGAAAGCTATCCTAAAAATAATAAGAAATACTTATACATTAATATCCTAAGTATTAGGTTTAACGACTATTTTGGTATATACTATATTTTGATAAGGGTATTTTTGGTAAGAAAAAAAGTCAAAACTGCTTCTGCTTCTACTTTTGGGAAGAAGCTATTTTTTTCTGCTTCTTAGAAACTACTTCTACTTCTTACCAAAAATAATTTTTCCCCAAAAAGCTTGGCCAAACACCTCAAGTTAGAGAAAAAAGTGCTTTTGAGAAAGAAAGAAAAAACACTTTTGGCCTCTGGAGAAACTTGGCTAAACAGGCTAATAGACTCAACAACAACGACAATTCCACGAGTGGATCTGAAAAGAATAGTGTGGACCTTACTCCTACCTTCAGGATTGAGAAACTGTTTTCGATAAATACTTGACTCAAGAAAAAAAAATAGAAACAACAAGCAATGATGTGATATAGACTCCAATGTTATTTTTGTAACTTCCTGTGTGCTTCACTACTTCATTTACAATATCTTCCATGATCAACTTGGTACAAATTATCCAAATTGCTAAGCTTGGCAAATCCAACCTTATCGTTTGGTTAGATTGTTTTTACTTATTACTGTATCCAACTTCCAAATCTTATTTCCTGGTTGTGATTTTCTTTCCCATAAAATGCTTCAAATACATTTAGTTTTAGATGTTGTATCTGGCCCTTACCAAACTAACCAAAGTGATCCTTTTTAAAGTACAAGTGTACAACATACGTTGGCAATATGGCAAGGGGTCAAATATACTCTTATACTATGAGAAAATGTTTAAATATACTTTTTGTAATACTTTGGAATGAAATATCTCTCTCGTAATACTATTGATTCAAATATACCCATCTTCTGTTAAGTTTGTCCATCTTAGTTTGTCCAAGATGGACATTCAATCCTACGTGGCACTAATATTTGATGAGGTAGATGCCACATGATATGCCACCTCAGCACCCCTATTCCATATATAAAAGACTAAAATTTGAAATACAATATTTTTCATCGTAGCGGTAATGGTGGCAATATTAGTGGAGGGGAAGAAAATTTTAGTGGTAGAAAAAAATAGAAAGGAGAGGTAAAATGTGGTAGGGGCGCTGAGGTGGCAAGCCATGTGACATCCACCTCATCAAATGTGAGTGTCACGTAAAATTGAATGTCCACTTTATACAATCTTAACGGAAAAAAAAAGTATATTTGAATTAATAGTATAATGATGGGGATATATTTAGACTCAAATATAACGATGGGTACATATAAACTTTTTTCTGAGAGTGTAGGGATATATTTGGCTCTTTTCCGCGGGCAATATGTTTCAGCCCATATTTTTCAGAATTTTGCTTACTCTCACCTCCTTTCTCAAGGTTAAAATTGCAAGTGCAACGACCATTATCTAACTAGACGCTTTACCTACCAGTCTACGACAAATGCATCAGATTAGGATAGTCAAAGTAAAGCTTTATTGCTTTAATAATAAAGCGAACAGTCTTTCTCCAATTAATGTTGATACTATATTAGTTATTCTTGTTACTCAAAGGATCAGTTTAGTCACTTTGATATTACAAGGATTTAATGGACCAATTGGTCAATCACTCTTTTTCTGCTTGCTATCAAAGAATTCACATGCAATATTTTCTTTTCTTTTTTACTTAACCAATCATTACTCACTTAACCAATCAACTATGCTTCTACTCAAAGATAATTCAGGTTGGTTTCGTGCCCATATACATATCATTCAGCTCTACTCGAACCCATTTCGGAATACATCTAAACAAATACATGCCCATATTCTTTGCTAATCGTCAATTTACCACAAATTTATTATGCAAAACTCGCACAAGATTGTTCACTTCTCAATTACTAAATGATTTAACTATTTGACCCAATGATAGTAGCACGGTCCCGCTGATTAATTATTGATCCAATTATTTGTCCTTCTTACTGTTGTATATGGGCTGAAGCCCAAATTAAACCCTTTTGCCACTCATCCACAAATTAATGTAGGCAGCCCAATGCAAATCTGAATATGGGTCCATTTTGCCCCACCGCTATGAAATACGAGTATGTATTTTTTTTATTTTTTTTTGGGTAGAGTAGTTGAGCAATTATTTAATATTTTGAACTATGAAAGAATCATTCATTCTGATAATGAATGTAAATAAATAAAAGATCTGTTGAGTTGATCCCTAATCTCCTCACAAGCTGTAGTCTCACGTTTGGGTTATGCAAGAAAATTCGCCCAAGCTCCTTTTGCCACCCATGCAGAAGATGCTAGTAATGAGTTTTGTAATTCTAAATTGTCCCGTTTAGCAGACGACAATTTGATTAATTAACGAATAGTATAATTCCTCACAAAATATCTAACTTATGAGATGCGAATATTCAACTAACCAGGAACAATGTATGAAACTAAGCCAAGCAATTCTTGTACCATCTCCATCAAACACGGCTGATCATCCACGTGCTTGCTCAAAAACCAATTTTAATTATTTTATTATAATCTCAATGTCACTGACTTGCCATGAAAAATATCTTGTTAAAAGCTAGCATTTGGAATGGCAGTTGTAATAGTCATTTATCTCTTTAATTAAACTTGACAACACAGCCTCGGTGTAATCAAAATAAGAGAAGAGCCCAAATCACCCACATGATGTTTCAGGGCATCTTTCGACAAAACGTCTACGAGCTTTGAAATTCTGGGCTAAAACCTTGTACATAACTATATATAAAACTTATCCTAACGGTGTATATAGAATATTGTTGTATTAATTGGTAACAAATAGACCAAAAAAATAAAAACAAGGGTGCACAAGAAAAATTGACCAAGAGGGATCTCCCTGTAAGGGATAAATTAAGATTGACCAAAAGGGGTCCCCCGCTTAGGAATAAATTGAATTTAAAGCA